CATTTCATGGACCACACGGGTATCCAGCCCCAAATAAGCGTCCAACAATCCAAGGACCGCACGGATATACAGCCCCAAGCAAGTGTCCGACATACCAAGGACCACACGGCTATCCAGTCCCAAGCAAGAGTCTCACAGCAATCCAAGGACCACGAAGGTATCCAGAAAAATCTCAAACTCATAAAATAACCTATCAAACTCAAGGGCAAAGACCCGGGCGATGAACACAGAACTATCGAGGATTAGTGATGTGTAACATCTTTCCTGTCGCTTTCCTGTAATCTGTGGGAGTGATTTCGTGAAAAGAGACGGAAGTGTGTCCCAGGAAATCGGACTCGATGATTATTAAACCCGCTAGGCATAGGAAAAACCCCAAAAAAATTCCACTCTTCAAATGATCAAAGGTAGAGTCTACTATATGCCGACTAACTTATTTTGATCTACCTAATATCTATTATTTATTCTGTGCTAATATTTAAAAACGTCGGAAGTTATATATACATAAAATCTTGCCACAATTCAGTAGTCTAGAATAGAAATAAAAAAGTATCGTCTATCGATGGTCGATAAAAATATGCTAATTAGTAGATTTTGATAAACACAGTTTAAGCATTTGTTATTGTGTGGATTTATCAAACAATTTTTTAAATTTTTCTTGTTATGGTAGTGTTTTAATGTATTTTTACAAATTCTAGCTATGATTTAATTTGTTATTTAATAACACTTACGGGCTCTGCCTGAAGTAAATAAATAAATAATAACTATTATTAAAAAATTACATCAAAAATGACAACGAATTTCCTCGATTCAGAAAATATCAAAATTATGTTGTAGAGTACAGTCGCTTTGCCATGTCCACGCACAACAAACAAAAGCACCAGTAGTGCGCTAGCGCTGATTGATAGATGTTATCGCCCGCGTAAATTACTTCCAGATGGATTTGTCTTTTTATATTTCGAAATTAAGTATCCGTCGTGAGTGACTTGCGTGCGATGTCTTACTCAAGCGAGGAATATTTTAATATGTTGACGTGTCTCGGGAAATGTGACCGCAATTATGCAGATGCACGAAGACTTTACGAGGAGCGCTTTGCTACACAACGAAATATACAATTGCCGTCGGCGATGACGTTCCAACAACTTCACATCCGTATGAACAATACTGGCAGTTTGCATGGCCGTTATCAAGATCGTAGGGATGCAGGAAGACCGAGAATGTACGACGAAGACATCGAGGAGCACTTTCTCGACATGTTTGGGGAAGATCCGACGCGGAGCAAGCGGTCGGTGGCACGTGAACTAGGTGTGAACCATATGCGCGTTTGGAGAGCACTCAAAGATGATGGCGAGCACCCGTATCATATCGTCGAGTTCAGTGTCTTCTTCCCAACGATTACGAGCCGAGAAGGGATTACTGTAGATGGTTACTTGATAAGGTTGAAGGAGATTCTGAGCATTTAAACCGCGTACTTTTCATGGATGAATGCTCTTTTGTTAGAACAGGTGTATTTAACGCTCATAATGAACACGTATGATCAACGACTAATCCGCATTCTTATAAGCCAAGCCACTTTCAACAACGTTGGAATATCAATGTGTAGGCAGGAATTATAGGCGACAAAATGATTGGTCCGTGTTTTCTTGACCACACAATAAGCGGTAAAAACTACGGACGCTTTTTACGAGAAGAACTAAGCGATGAACTTGACAAAATAAATCTAGACCTCGTTCGACGCATGTGGGTTCAACACGATGGTGCACCACCGCATTTCTCCCGTTGTGTAAGAAATTTTTTGGATACTGAATTCGGTGAAAGATGGATTGGCCGTGGTGGACCGGTCAACTGGCCGGTGCGAGCACCTGATCTCACACCTTTAGATTTTTATCTCTGGGGTACGATTAAACAGTTTGTATTCCAAAAAACATGCGATACCGAGGCGGAAATGCGAATGCGAATAGTCGCATCCTTTGAAAAAATTAAGTCCGAAATATCTGTTATACAACGCGTGCGTTCAGATATTAGCACATAAGTCGGTGTCGCAAATGTATAGAGGTACAAGGCGGACATAGAACAACATCTTCGTGGTTGTCAAGTAGACATAGTGATGAATTAATGTTTTCGCATAATTACCACAATCAGTCGAAATAAAATTTTAAAAGTTGTGATAATCGACTACCAAAGCGATAACAGCTGAGTGATGTGACAAGGCCACGACCTTAGTGCAGTTAGTGTAGGTACGACGAGATATAACGAAAGACATAATATTACGTGCCATAGATGTGTCAAAAGGCGGTAAGATAAAAAGAACTGCTGAGAAATATGAAATCCCTAGAACAAACTTGCCACGATATCTTAAGCAACATATAGAAGATATTCCATTTAGGTTTATAATTTCACAAATTTTTTACATGACTGTGTGTTCTAAACTTAATTATGGATTGACAAAGCTCTAAGCTCGTAAATTAGCCTACGACTATACTTTAGCAATAAAGAAAACTAACATACCAAATATTTGGATCCAGAACCAAATTGCATCCAAAGACTGGATACGGGGATTTCTCAATAGACAATCTCATTTATCAATCTGGACAGCAGAAGCTACTAGTTTATCACGCGCAACAAGTTTTAATAAAACAAATGTAGGGGATTTTTTAGCGTTATCATTTGGGTCCTGAAGCAATTTATAATATAGACGAAACAGGATTGACAACTGTTCAGCACTCACAAAGAGTGATTGCTCCTAAAAGCACTAAAGAATTCGGACAAGCAACTTCTGCAGAAAGAGGTTCACTCGTCACAGTGTGCTGGAGAATCAATGCCATTGGAAATTCAATACCTCCTTATTTCATATTTCCCAGAGTAAATTTTAAACCCTACATGTTTCATGATCCTCCAGAAATGCTTTGCTTTTGCAATAAATGAAATTGGGTGCGTACAAGGTTCGGAAATGAATATTAAATTAAACCAACCGTACCGTTTGTCTCAACCAGAACGCGAGCGTGTTAGAGCTGTGGAAGAAGAATTAGAAAACTGTGGAATTATCAGAGAGTCTACGTCAGAATACGCGTTACCTATTATCCTTATTAAGAAAAAAACAGGAGATTATCGTCTTTGTATAGATTTTCGGGTATTAAACAAAAAGACTGTGAAGTAACATTACCCTTTACCGCGAATTGATGATCAATTAGATAATTTATCTGGATTTAAATATTACACTTCTTTAGATTTTGCATCTGGCTATTATCAGGTACCTATGTCTGAATCTTCAAAACATCTCACAGCTTTTATTACTTCTGATGAGCACTATGAGTTTAACAGTATGCCATTTGGACTAGCTAACGCCCCTTCTACCTTGTGATGTGATAATTCCATCAAAAACAATTGAGGAAGGGTTTCAAAAACTACGTGATACTTTAATATTGTTCAAAAGGGTAGGCGTTATTGGATAAATGTAACTTCTTCATGCAAAATGTCGATTACTTGGGATTTGAAATAAGTAAAGATGGCGTGCGACCTGGAAAGAAAAAAATAGAAGCAGTTGGAAAGTTTCCTGAACCCGCTAACCAACACAATGTTAGACAATTTCTGGGATTGGCTAGTTTTTTCGTAGATTCATAAAAGGATTATCTACTATCACAAGACCATGAACACAACTCTTGAAAAAGGATTCTAAGTGGAGATGGGGTACGGAAGAAACTAAAGCATTTTTATCTTTAAAAGAAGAATTAGTTAAACGCCCTGTCCTTGCTTTTTATAACCATTCATATGAAACACAAGTTCTCACTGACGCTTCTAAGGTCGGTATTGCAGACATTTTGTTGCAGAGACCCAACAAGGAATCTTCTTTTAACGCTGTAGCTTATTACAGTAGACAGACTATACCTGAGGAGAATCGTTTTACAGCTTACGACTTGGAAACGTTAGCAGTTGTCACATCATTGCAGCGGTTTCGTGTATATTTATTAGGTATATGTTTCACAATAGTTACTGATTGTAATTCTTTAAGAGCAACGTTTGAAAAACGTGATATGTTGCCTAGAGTTGCTCGATGGTGGAATATAATGCAAGGGTATGATTTTAACATAATATATAGACCAGGTCTGTCCATATCACACGTCAATGCTCTTAGTCGTAATCCGGTTAAGTACAACGAAAATTTCGTTAATGTTTGTACAATTGATTCGAAATGAATTTCTACTGTGCAGTAGAGCGATTCAGAACTACAACGAATTGTAAATATATTACAGGATCCCGATACAAGTAATCTATTAGAAATAAAAACAACTTTGTAGTAAAAAGAGGACTGCTGTATAGAAAAACGCAAGATGGCGATCGCTGGGTTGTACCAAAGGGAGTACAGTGGCAAGTAATAAAGGCTAATCACGATGATATTAGTCATTTTAGTGCTGATAAAACTTACAATAAGATCATGGGTCAATACTGGTTTGCTAAAATGCGGAGATTTGTAAAAAAGTATGTGAGTTCTTGTCTTGAATGTGCTTATCGCAAAATTCCAGCTGGCAAGAAAGCTGGGGAATTGCATTCAATACCAAAAGTTAATAGACCATTTGACACTATCCATATAGACCATTTAGGGCCCTTTGTGCGCAGTAAAAAGAAAAACTCTTATTTGTTTCTAATAATAGATGCATTGACTAAATTTATTATCCTAATACCAGTAAAAAAACACGAAAATAATTCATTCCATCAGAGCAATAAAACATTATTTTCACACTTTTAGCGTCCCGGGAAAACTTATTTCTGTTAGAGGAACCTCGTTTACATCTAAACGTTTCAATGAATACTTAGAATCGTTAGGTGTCAAGCACCTGCTGAAAGCTGTTGCCACTTCCGTGCTAATAGGCAAATAGTACGGTATAACAGCACAGTATTAGCTTCTTTAACAGCGTCAAATTTTGGTAAGCCTGAACATTTATGGGACGAATGTGTAAGTGACATTCAGTGGGGATTAAATAATACAATAAATAAAACAATTGGTAAAACTCCTGCAGAAGCTTTATTCGGTATTAAAATAATAGAAACCAACGATTCTTTGGTGCAGATTAATGTCTTCAATGATTCCGATAATGAAAATGCACAAAATACTAATAATAGTCATAGTATTAGGAACGAAATATCGCAACGAATTAAAATTGACCAAACAAAGCAAAAGGAGCGTTTTGATAAGAAGCGGAAAATATTAAAGTTCGTTGTAGGTGATTTGGTTAGAATAGAGAGAGATTCCTTCAACAGGTAAAAGCAGAATATTAATTTCTAAAGTTCGCGATCCTTATCGTATATGTAAGGTTCTCGATAACGATAGATATGTAGTCGAAGATACACCTATATCACGCAAGGGTAGACGTTTTAGTGGTATATTTTCCGTTGATAAAATTCATCCTTGGTTGGTTTATCAACGAAACTATGAGTCTGATACTCAAAGTTGAAATAGTAATACCGATGAATGAATAAGTATATGATTACAAATAATTTGTTATTAGTGTTACAAGGATCATTTTCTTTCTTTATGTAATGATTTGAAATAAATAATATTTTTGATTTCATTAGTTACTATTTTAATAATTTTAGTTGTAAAAAACAATACTGATATTTGTTTACAATTATTTTTGTTTATCATAGTATATTATATTAATGTCATCATTTATTAGGAAAATGAATATTGAAGACATGAATGGGTCTTCAGTATTCTTTACTTATTTCTTGCCTGTTGAGAACATGAAGGAGTCTCATGCAAGTGAATATTGAAGTTATGAATGGGGCTTCAGTATTCTTTACTTCTTTCTTACCTGTTGAGAACATGAAGGGGTCTCATGCAGGTGAATATTGAAGACATGAATGGGGCTTCAGTATTCTTTACTTATTTGTTGCCTGTTGGGAACGTGAAGGGGTCTCATGCAGGTGAATATCGAAGACATGAATTGGGATTCAATATCCTTTGCGATGTAATTTCATTAATTTAAAATAAACTGTAATATTACAAATAATATTAACTTAATATGATAATACATTTTATATTTTCCTGTCACGGGACGTGAAAATGTCAGGAAAGGCCGATTGTTAGCAATTAAGTATAAAGAACAATTAAGCATATATTGAATGACATAATTTTAATTTAGTTATCTCTTGAAATCTTCTCTTCTCGCTTTTGTCGCTTTGAATTTCCGGTAAGATTTTTATTGTAATAATTTCGGATTTGACTCCTACAAAAGAGAAGATAAAAGATGGCCGTCACGACCGAAGCGGGGCATTCAGTTGTAAGGTATTTAGACTTAAGAGACTTGAGTGTTTTTGTGTAAAGATATAGTGAAGATACTAAGTAAAAGTGATTATTTGTACGACAAATTAATTGTGAGTTATAAACGGATGAAATAAAATTGGTATGCTGTAACATAAATTGTATTATTTGCTAACATTAGTAAAAAGGGCCCAGAGAACTTAGGATGCAAAAGCGAGCGAAGCGAGCTCGGAGACTTAGGGCACAGACAGGTTAAGTTCACTCTCTTCGCTAGCTCACTAGACTCCGCCAACCCCTTCGAACTTCCTTACTTTAAATCCTGCAAACGTGGCTCCGTCGACTGCACCAGTTTAGTGTTTCGGGCATATTTGCCGAAGCACGAACTATTACGTTTAATGCCATTCAAAGATTTAGAATCGCATCATTCATGTCCATAGTTGGGGGTGTAGAAACAAGATATAGTGAGTTCGCGGTTAGACTGCCGGCCACAGCCTTATATCAAAAATAGCTTAAGATAGCTGCTTGACGTGATGGTTACATCTATTTAGACTTAGATATTTTTTTTTCTTTAAGTAATTTTGTACAGTACTGTATTTTTTGTTTGTATGTAATATGGGTGCAATGTGCCTGAAATAAAGAGAATTTATTTATTTATTTATTAATAATTAATATGCGTTTTCACATCTCATCAAAAGCTACATCTGCGCAGCCACTCGCGACCAAGATAAAATGCGAGGACTTTACATCAAGTAATACCAACATCAAGTAATACCAACATCAAGTAATACCAGAGTGAACGAGTGTGCGGAAGCCTCATAATATAAGTATCTCAAAGCACACACAAACAAGGGCGGGATTCACCTACAGTCTTCAGTAGCACATAAAAAAATAACGCGATATTTAGCACTACCGACGCGGGCATCGTCTAATTTACTCTATTGTAACTAAGTAAGTAATAACTGAACTCCGCTGTTATGTGCGTGAGTTACAAGAAAGCTTTCATAGTCTCGTTCACACTGGTAATACATTGTTTAAGAGACCAATCTAACATTCACTTAGCCGAGACATGTAGTAAACTCAGTTCGCTCTATTTTATTAAACCTTACTTATATCATTTTTGGCACAGATACTAATAAATATTTTCACAATATATCAAAATCATCAATAATAAATATACCTAATAATAGAAATAAAATGTTATTAGTTGCCGCCTCAAAGCATTACATTTTGCGAACGGGATATATACAAACTAATAGAATATACTATAGATACAATTTTATGGTTTAGCGTAAACTCTCACCTTAAGCAAATTTGCAATGTAAGTGGCATGTATTAAGGTACTTAAACAAAGATTTTAATAAGAAAATATTTAATGTTACTTTTTGCTAAGATGTTTGAAATTATATTTGTTCTAAATCTTAAACGACCAATGAAACCAAAACAAAAATATCAAATGAAACAACCATTTGTTGACACAATTTGTCACCTTCGTGTATTTAGTTCTATAGTATTTTCTTTACTTATCTGTATTCCTATCTGTTGGATGCTTACTAATTACCCTATATAATCATACAAACAGGGTAGGTACATCATATGTTTCAAAATACACAAAAATGTTTAAAATCCTTAAAATATTCACTTTATACCTACGTACGTACTTGTACAGAATTAAATAGTATAGGAGTACACAGTGTGTGCGTTTTATATGGTTATGGGAAAGATAATTTAAGAAGCGACAGTAGCCTAATGGTTAGTGTGAGGAATGTAAACTCGGAAAATCGTAGGTTCGAAATTCGAATTTCGAACTCTAACGACCGTAATCGAACGTCGGATTCGAACATCGAATCCGACATTCGATTACGTTCGTGAACCACTCCTAACATTTAATGTTAGGAGACTCAATTATCATTACTGGCAAAATAGCATTATTGGTATTTATTTTAAATTAATTTAATAACATTACATAGTTTTAACAAATAAATAGTTCTGATATGGTTTTAAAAAAATAACATCTGTCTCTATCGGATTTCATTTTGAAAAGTCTTGCTACTGTAACTGTAACGAAGTAACGAGATTAAAGTATTGCGAACAACCGTGACACATTTGCAACATAATTTAAAATAACAATTTTAAGCAAATTTTTTTGGAATAAAGTTAGAAAGCAATTTTTTTATGATTTCTCTACCTAATTAAATACATGGTTAAAAATAGTCACATCAATTTATTTAATTTCAAAACTTATTGATCCATATTTTAAAAAAATAGTAATTTAAGTCGTTATTCTAAAAATTGAGCCTTGTATAGTTCATTTGTGAACTATATTTATTTAGATCATATAAATAACACTGCATATAATAATAAAAAATAAAAATATATAGAAACAGACTCTACATAATATACAACTTAGTTTTGAAAATTTCATATTATACTCGTTATTAGTTAGCAGCCACAACCTACAAACATATCCAGGAATCACATTATCAGTATATAAACACACGAAGTATATAATCTGTAAGTATGTAAATAATATCCAAATGTTTTATTGTATTATTACTAACACTTCGTTTATTTTTTACCTGCCAGTTACACAAATATTGCATGCATAATTGTAGTAAGTACCCGAAAACTGTCCGTTTATATGAGGTTGCGGCGCAGGTCTCTTAGCCGAGACCGTGGTCATCGAAGAAGCCCTGCGGAACCTCCTCCTGCAACAAGAATCATCACTGAGCCAGTGCCGCTCGTGGTCGTTGTTAGACCGAGCTATCGCTGTTCGGCAAATGTGCAAAAAATTTACATATCATATATGCACTAATAATTTCTTGGTCATTGTCCACAAAAGAACCATCTTTTAACGAAAACAAAACAATATTTTTAACAAAAATTTATTATAAAGTGCATCCATCATTATATTAGCAGTATAATTGAAGCACGAATGGGTCGGCTCGACCGGGGAAGGACCACGCTCTCACAGAATACCAGCGTCAAATGGCAGCTTGACACTGCTGTGTTTCGTATGGTGAGTGTAGAGAACCGGAAGACCCTTTTTAATGGAAACGAGGCATTCCATCTTAGTCCTCACGGGTGACGACGCATCTGCATTTTGATTTGTAATCGAGGATAGATGTAGATATCTATGACCACTTACCATCAGGTGGACTGTGTGCTCGTTTGTCACCCTTATTTTATAAAAAAAAAAATGTGCTAACCGAATAGTTGAATAACCATAGCAACTTTGTCAGTCCCAATTACTGATTTTTATACATCAGAGAGCTTTGAAGAGTTGATTTTTTATGTTAACTAACTGTTATATGACACTAAAGAAAACATATGGAAAATCCAAAAGCGCACGCCTCACACGTTTATTATGTTAAAAATTTAAATTAAAAAACACAGAACCTGATCGACTATCATTAATAACTTTTAAACGGAGTTCAGTAGCAAAAATCAATATGGATCCTCCTTAGAATATATGGAATCTTATTTAATACTATATATCTCAATCTATTGCTTGCATTTCGATAAGCGAGAAGACTCCCCGACGCACAGACCAACGCACGGCAGTCCATATATTTTTTCAATTAAAATTTTTGTTATAGACGCCCATTACACGGTAGGTTTTGCTGTCAGTTTTACAACAATCACGGTTGTGATTGACGAATAACCTATCGTGTAATGCGGTGATTGACGGTTGCATAAAATTGATTGACAAATATCTGGATATTTTGATTTTTACGTCGATCAACTATTAGTCACGAATTTTGATTGAACGTGTAATGACATTTCGCCAATCACGCGTCAGTCAACGCTTAGACAGCAATGGAGGCGGACGCAGAATATATTGAAGAGGCTGCTTCTACGCGCTCGCGCGTCGCCACTCCCACCAAATGTGTTTCAGCCAGAAAAAGATTTTATTTTAAATTTTCAGTCTCTTCCCGAGTTGTGGGACACGAAAAACCCCGGGTAGGTTGGATGCCCCTAATACCAGCCACGCCCCTAATTCCAGCCTTTCCGCCTTTTTACTTCGTAAATAAGATTTCTAGTAGTCTTAACTACAAATATGGTCGGCTAAAAAGTCTTCGTAATTAGAGGAAAGTATATTTCAAATATTACCTTACAGTTTTAAACCTAACAGTGTTAAATTAAAAATCAAAACATAAGCCATAGAATTATTACGTAATAATTTTATGACATAAGCATATTTTACATCAGCTCATCTTTAGGCTTTTTGATTTGTATGAATGTGACTATAGACATTTTCTTTTAGTGGAAATTAATGGGGCTGTAATTAGATATACGAAATTTATGGAGTGCATATTGTCAGTCGCCCGACTGTTATTTGGTTTGACGTAAATAATAAGAAGTACCTTATTTTAACCACGTAATATAAATCAGGGCTGTCATAAACTAGAATAAATACCATTAATTTGAACTCACACAGAAAACCAACGTAGAATAGCAGCTTAACGCTGCTGTGTTTCGTATGGTGAGTGTAGAGAACCGGAGACCCTTTTTACTGGCAAAGAGGCATTCTATCTTAGTCCTCACGGGTGACAACGCATCTGCATCTTGAGTCTATATTGAGGATAGATGTAGATGTCTATGGGTCATAGTAGCCACTTACCATCAGGTGGACTGTGTGCTCGTTTGTCACCCTATCCTATATAAAAAAAAAAAAACATAACTTATTTTATAGTTAAGTAAGTTATGATCAATTCGTCTATATTTTAAAATTGGTGTTTGATTTAAAAGTTTAACAAATGATACGTACTTGCTTTTCAGACATTTGGTATATGTTAAGAACACCATACAATATTTAGTTATTTTTTGAGAAAGACAAAAACAAACAATAAATGTAATTAACTACAACTTTGTAATTCTAATTTTATTATAACTTAAGAACATAAATGAAAAAGTCATAAAAGGGATAGTGGTTCAGGACCTTGCTTTGCGGCAGTCTATGGAGGATGATGTTCTGTAGTCGACTTGTGAAGGGCTGAAATGATGATAAAGATTCAAAAACTTGGATGATTAAATTATAAGAAATCGGTGTACTATAATACATAATTTTTAATATAATATTGTTTTAATTAATTGTTTAGTGTTAAAAGAAAAATTTAACTGCTTAAAGCTAAACCACAGTAAGGTAAGAAGTAAAACATTAAAATAAAATAATTGTTGTCGTAATACATATTCCATACTTGTGACATGCATGATTTAAAATTAAAAGTTGTTATGAATTTATTTCAGTGCCCCTAAAATTTACCTACAATAGGTACCTACCAAAAACTCAAAAGGCATAGCCCTATGCTATGCTGGCATTAGATATACAAAAGAAAATTGAAATTGACACTAAAAGGCTGGTAATAGGGGCATCCACCCTGTACGAATAAATGTAAAAGTTAAGCTTATTTTTCGTCCATAAATGCGTTTCAAATAAAGCCGCGTATCGATTATGCACTCCAAGAGGTCTAACATTTGCGCGCGTTAAATTAAAATGGGTAAAATGATATTAAATATTACAATTTTTCCTATTCGTTTTTTTTCTTTTTCCTTTCAAGATATAAAATTATAATTAAATGGTGAATCGAAAATGAAGTTAGTTTATAGGTACGTCCTTTCACTCCGAAAATTTGGGTTTGACTGACATCAGTCAGCATGATCGTGTAATGTCGAAATTATTCTATCATACAAACGTTAATCATGATTGATCGAACTGATTGACGCTTGCCTAGGCGTGTAATGGGCGTCATATAATCTAAAGCGAATCAATTCGAAAATAAACTAATCTTATAATTCAATGTAGTGTAGTTATTGTAACGTTAATTATAATATGAATTTGATGTCTAGCTAAAAGTATAAGGACGATTTTATGTAGTGAAATTGAGGTATGGCCACATATCGAGAGTAGAGCACTTTCTTACGTTGTGAGGCGTGCAATAAAAAGGCCAGTTAAAAAGTCAGACTGTATGTATTTAATTTAAAAATGGAATGCAACCGTTACAACGGTTCATTGTATCAGTCGCGACGGTCTTTAAAAAAAAATCATGCGGCTCACCAGATGGTAAGTGACTACCGCCGCCCATGAACAACCGCAACACCAGAAGAATTGCAGATGCGTTGCCGGCCTTTTAGAAAGGTGTAAGCTCTTTTGTTGAAGGTTCCGAAGTCGTATCGGTCCGGAAAAATCGCTGGTGGTAATCGATTCCACAAGGAAATTGTGCGAGGGAGAAAACTTCTTCTAAATCGCACAGTGGTGGACCGAGATGGTATGGATGGTAACGCGACTCGGTCGACGATTCGAACCGCTCTGCCCTGGATACGGTCAAATGGAAGGAACTGGCTACTGGGGTGCCCCGGCCCAGAGATGAGAACAGTATTCCATGTGAGGCCGGACTTGCGCTTTGTAAAGTTGCAAGCGATGTGCCGGCATGAAATACTGTCTCGCTCTGCTGACCACGCCAAGCTTTTTAGAGGCCAATTTGGCCTTCCCTTCCAAGTGACCACGAAACTGCACACTATTCGATATGTCGACGGCAAGGATTCCGATGCTAGCTGAGGCAGCAAGGGGAGTGCCTTGAAACTGAGGAGATACGACAAAGGGGTTCTTTTTAGCGGTAAACGCGCAAACTTGTGTCTTCTGGGGATTGAAGTGGACTAGATTTAGTCGCCCCAATCCGAGCTTGGATATTACTTTTATTTGAAATTATCCCAAATTGGATTTAATTTATGGGCCACAACTACGCGTACGCGCGCTCCTCTGTTTGCGCGATTCAATTCACGTTTTTGCCAACCGATCGATCCTTACGTATGTGTGCGTGCGTAGTAAAATAGTGGGCGTTAGATATTTATGAAATTTTTGAAACAATCAGTTAAAATAATGCATTACCACGCATTTTTAATTTAAAAGATGAAAAGGACAAAATGTTTAGGCTTTTTTTAAATTATTTTTCTTCATCGTTCCCCTATATTACTTATTCTGAACCTTCTTTGCCGTATATTGCAAAATAACCCTGTATAATATAATGTTTTTTTTTCTTTCTATGAATTAAAACATTGAACTTTTATAAATTTATGTTTTAATATTGATATCAAAGAAAATTAAATTGATGCGATTTAAAACGATTAATTCGCAGTAGGTGTAAATATTATTAAAAATAAAAATGATGCCTCATATAAAACACATAACAAAGGTCACAAAATTGTCATGGCGTAATGTCGTCCAGACTGAATTTTATACACGGTGGCCATTCACAACGGAGACCAGCCATCTCCGCAGGACAGGGTTATAATTTACGAGTGTAGTGTGTAAACACAGGCGTACTTTCTATTCCTTCACTGTCATAGTCCGATGGGACGGATATCCGAGGCACGGGAGTGAAATACCGCCATGATCCTGACTACGGGCTGCTATTAAGAATTACTTGACAGAAAAATTAATAACTGATTTTGGCCCGATCCGGGATTCGATACCGGAACCTCATGATCAGTAGTCGAGCTTAGTTACCACTAGACCAACGAGGCAGTAAATGCATGTGAACTATTAATGGAAACAAAGAAAGAAGAAGTACAATCGTGATATAGTTATTTTGTCTGCTTGGCGATAGTATAATCATTATTTAGGGAAAAGGGTTAATGCACACTTGCAATGCTTTAATAAAATGTTCACGAACTTTGTGTTTTAAAAAAAAAACTTGTTGGTAGCTTT